TCCAAGGAAGAATGTAGGTAGAGCTGGTTTAATTGTGGCTTACCCTCACCAAAAAAATCTAGGGTGTCAGGTCAGCTCCATGTGAATCAGTGTTAGCTCCATATGAATCAGCTGTGTGCTGTGCCTTCTAACAACACAACCACAGTGTCTAGAATCTACATTTTAAAAGATAACCTTGTTTTTGGTCCTCTGGTCTGGTTAGGTAAATCTGAGATTAACATTTTAGTTCTGGGTAGCAACCTAGCATTCATGCAAACAAAGCAGGACTTGGTGTCTAGAAAAAGATGATATATAATAGTTGAGGAAATATTTCACTGAAAATCAGAGACTGAGGGAAGAAACCAGGGAGCTCAACTCCGTTCTAATAAAACTGTTATGTTCCAAATATGGAATAGGTTGTCCTGTGAGCCAGTGAGCACCTGACAGGAAAAGTATTCAAATGGAAACAAGGCTGAAACAGATGATTAAGGCCCTTCTAACCTAAGAAGCTTTTATTCCAGAGGATACCTTTTCAGAGAAGCATCAGTTCCTTAGTATTTGCTTTTTTAAATGATTCTTGCTTTTAAAAAAGTTACATATTAGGTATGTGTGTGTGTTTAAAGAGGCAGGCTCCCCAGCTGTCATTCAAATCAGTGGCACAAACAGAGAGCTCTCTGAACATGTGTGCACCCAGGATGTGGGATAGCAGCAGGAGCAGGGCAAAGTCTGGAAAGGAAGCAGTAGGGGAAGGTTTCTATCACATGAATAGAGATAGTTCTCTGGTTACTCAAATGGAGGTTGCATACCTCATATGCACACTAAAATACCTCGAAAGGTCACAGGGCACTTCATACATCATTCATGAGGTTGACTAAAAAATTCCAGGAAAAATACAAAGAGGAAAACATTAAACAACGGGGGGTGGGGCAGGACTATTATTCACACTGCATGGCATTTCAAGCTTTGGCTACCAACAATCTATTCCATATACATGAAGCATTCATGCATGGTTCCATTATTCACTACAACAGGCAGTTAATTCAAATATATTTTCAAATTCTCAAAAAATTAAAAACAAGGGATCTTCTGTGCTATTGATAGTCACCAATTCTCTTAAGATTAAGCCATCAATATGGTACAATAGTCCGCCCTTTTCCTTGGGAAATATGTTCCAAGACTCTGGGAGAACAGCTGAAACCACAGGTAGTGCTGTACCCTATGTTTTTTCCTATATACAGACACCTATGGTAAAGTTAAGGCACAGTAAGAAACTGACAACAACAATAACATAGAACTATTATAACAATACATGTAATAAAAGTTACGTGAATGTGGTCTCTTTCTCTCTCTCTCTCAAAATATCTTATTGTAATATTTTCAGACCATGGTTGACCACCGGTAACTGAAACCTCAGAAAGAAACTGAGAATAAGGGGGGACTACCGTACAACGCGTATCTTTTGTAAACACCATTTTTAAGGATACTACACATTCTGTTACTCAAGGATCCTTTTAAAAGCATTCCCCCCCACACTTTTTTTTTTTTTTTTTTTTTTTTTGAGACAGTCTCACTCTGTTGCCCAGGCTGGAGTGTGGTGGCACAATCTTGGCTCACTGCAACCTCTGCCTCCTGGGTTCAAGCGATTCTCCTGCCTCAGCCTCCTGAGTAGCTGGGATTACAGGCACATGCCACTACACCTGGCTAAATTTTGTATTTTTAGTAGGGATGGGTTTCACTATATTGGCCAGGCTGGTCTTGAACTCCTGATCTCAAGTAATCCACCCACTTAGGCATCCCAAAGTGCTAGGATTATAGGCATGAGCCACCATACCCAGCCCCATTTTTAGAAATTAGAAATAAATGCTAAGGAAAATACTTCTCTGCTGAGCTAGCAGATGACTTCCATCTAAGCTCTGTGTGGTCCCTTCTGCCCGGCCTGCCTAGAAGTTACAGCCCAGTCTTCGTGTTCACTTAAAAATTCCCTCGATGCAGGACTCTCAGCTACCCTCCGTGCAAGTCCCTTCTTCATACCCGGTATTATAAGGCTCCTGTTCTCCTCGTGTTCATGGTTGTAATAATGCAGCTGCAGTTTAAAATTGTAAATTACTGAGAAATTGTAAATTACTTTTTGAAAATACAAGGGGTATAAATGTTAAATGAAAAAGTTATCCCAAGATACAGACTGACATATCATATTGAGAAGAAATAATACCTTAATGATGGTCATGTCACTTGAGGGATAAATATAAACTATGTACTTTTTCTTGTAGTGGGGGAAGGCATATGGGAAATTGGTGTGTCACATGTAGGATGCCTCATTAGTTCTTCTAGAATTTTGTCAATAAAGGTATAGGAAAGACAGCACGTCAACGATGTTTGGAGACATCATTTGTTCTGTGCATCTCCCCACTCTAATCATCTAATGTTCACACACCCTTATCTAAGTACACAGCATTTTACTAAGCTACATATAAAAATCTAGATTTATACAAAAGATAAATTAAGGGATATTTGTTTCACAATAATACTGGCAAGGGCATTTTAAATAACAGTCCTTTAATATAGAATTAAATAATGTTTTGAGTGGTATCTTTTTATTAGTGAATTGGTAAAACTAAGAATCATGCTATATAAGAGAGAAACTTCTGAATAAAAGAGAAGAAACTAAACAAACATAATATCCACGTGCAATATGCGATCTGTGATTGCATCCTGGTTCAAAAACAAAAACAGAAAAATCACCAAACAAAAAGGAACGAAAGCCAATCTTGGGGCAATTGGGGAAATCTGAATAAGGACTGAAGATTGGGTGAGATTATGATATTCCTATTTTCTTAGGTAAAGGGAAGAACACAGGTATCCTATACTTTCACTTTTCTGTTGTTTGAACTTTTTCCAAACAGAACATCAAAATTCAAATTATAAATAAATTAGTAAACTATTACTTTTACAAAACCATTTCCTGCAGGGTTCATTTACATAGCAATATAAATGTACTTGAAATAATAAACTAGCACAATTGGATTACAGATTGACTCTTCAAGAAATTGTGTATTTTCAAGAAAATAGCTTTACTCAAAACCTAAATTGCTGCTTGAGAACTAGAAGCAAACAAAACTATGCAAGTTCAGTGGTGAATTTTTGGTGCCAGGGCTACGGTCATCTAGACCAGGGGTCCTCAACCGCAGGCCGTGGGCCAGTACTGGTCAATAGCCTGTTAGGAACTCGGCTGTATAGCATGAGGTGAGGGGCAGGCAAACAAGCATAACTACCTGAGTTCCGCCTCCTGTCAGATCAGTAGTGGCATCAGATTCCCATAGGAGCGCAAACTCTATTGTGAACTGCACATGGGAGGGATCTAGGTTGTGCACTCCTTATGACAATCAAATGCCTGATGATCTGAGGTAGAACAGTTTCATCCTGAAACCATCTCCCATGGTCCATGGAAAAACTGTCTTCCATGAAACTGGTCCCTGGTGCCAAAAATGTTGGGGACCACTGATTTAGACCATCTAACGGCACCCTGAGAGACTGAGTTCAAAAGGGAAGTAAATCTACATCACAGCCTTCACAGATATCCATTTCAGGGCAAACAGCCACCCCAGCAACACTCAAAAAAGGCTTTATTAAGGCACAATAAAAACGTTTATGGCTCATGGTTAAAATATTTCTTAGTAACTTAGTCCACTACAAGTCCTTGATAAACCATTTCTAAAGGGAAAGGGAAGAACATTTGTTCAAAAGGCCAAAATTATCTTTGGTCTCAGTCACAGGGGTGAGATGACAAAGGGAAGGTCATCATTTGAAAGGCATCGCAGTAAGATGCATACACTGTGTTGCCACTGTGGCTATGATGCCCACTATCTTCAGACGTTGGCCTGTGGCAAATGTGGCTTACCCTGCCAGGCACAAGAAAACATCCAGTAGTGTTTCTTCTTTTAGCCTTGGCACTAACAAAGACAAACTACCACTGGGACTGGTTGAATAAGGCACCTAAAAATTGTACACCATAGATTCATGGATTCCACAAAAGAAAAATGCCTGCACCCAAGAAGGCAGCTGCTACAGCTTCCAGTTCATTGTAAGAATTTCAACGATTAGTCACTCCATAAATGTACTGCTTAAAAAAAAGAAGGCCAAAGTTTTCATTTAATTTCAGACTATCATTTTTAAGTCAATATTCAAAGACTATGTGTTGGAAAAGCTACATTTTAAAGAACAAGTTGCCTACAAAAGTATTTCAAGTAAATTCTTGGAATAAATTCTCCAGATTAATAGGACATCTAAAAAATAAATGCAAATCACATCAAACCAGCATACTTGCCTCTCTCTCAGCTTCTTTCAATATGGCTTCTTTCTCCTTTACTCGCTGCACAAACATCTGCTTCATTTCTTCTTCCTTCCTCTGACGTTCACCATGAAACTCATGTCTTTTGGCTTCATAGGTCTCTTGAAGACTAAAAAGTTATTTGTGTTACTCTTCTGTTAAAAAATTACATAGGCCAAGTGTGGTGGCTCACGCCTGTAATACCAAGACTTAGGAAGGTGAGGCAGGCGGATCACCTAAGGTTAGGAGTTCAAAACCAGCCTGGCCAAGATGGTCAAACCCCATCTCTACAAAAACACAAAAATTAGCCCAGCATGATGGCAGATGCCTGTAATCCCAGCTACTTGGGAGACTGAGGTGGGAGAATCACTTGAACCCGGGAGGCAGAGGGTGCAGTAGCCAAGATCACGCCATTGCCCTGCAGCCAGGGCAAGAGAGCGAGACTATGTCTCAAAACAACCAAGTGATATAATTGGCCGGGCATGGTGGCTCATGCCTATAATCCCAGCACTTTGGGAGGCTGAGGTGGGCGGATCACCTGAGGTCAGGAGTTTAAGACCAGCCTGTCCAACATGGTGAAACCCTGTCTCTACTAAAAATTAGTCAGGTGTGGTGGCGTGCACCTGCAGTTCCAGCTACATGAGAGGTTGAGGCAGAAGAATTGTTTGAGCCCAGGAAGTGGAAGTTGCAGTGAGCCAAGATCGCACCACTGCACTCCAGCCTGGGTGACAGAGCGAGACTCAATCTCCAAAAAAAAAAAAAAAAGTGATATAATAAACTTGCAAAAATACAAGTGCTCACTTAATGCCACCAATAGGTTCTTGAAAACTGCAACTTTAAGTGAAGCAATGTATAATTTAAACCAATTTTTACCATAGAGTAATTGATATAAATAAGAATTAAGTTCCTATGGCATATTTCTGGTCACAAAAACATCAAATGTCTAAGTAAAGACTCAAAACCCTTTTAATATTAAAGATTGAAATAAATGTGAGCTTTATACACATTTAAGAAAAATTAACAAAAATAAGTAGGACAATTAATTATCCAATTTTTGGTGCATCCGTGAGTGATGGTAGTCATCGTGGTGGAGGTGAAATCACGGAATAAATGTTTGCAAAGGGAAAATTGTAAACATCACCTCCTACCACAATGCAGTTCAAAAACAAACAATAACAAATATGGCAGGTTCACTGAGCACTTTCACACTGCATTGCTTGTTGTCCTATATTTGTGTAGTTATTGTATTTAATAAATTTATATGTTGCAATAATATATATTCATTCATTCTCCAACTCGCTTACTCCAGTTCAGGGTCATGGGTGGCTAGAGCCTACCCTTGAAGCTAAGCAGGAACCAACCCTGGACAGCATGCCATTCCATTGCAGGGCACACACACACCACCCACACTCAACTCAGACCAGGACAATTTAGACACGCCATGAACTTAACACTTACAGCTTTGGGATGTAAAATCCAGGGAACCCAGAGAAAACCTGTGCAGATACAGGGAGAATGTGCCAACTCCACACAGACAGTGGCCCTCACTGGGAATCAATTTTTCTTATCAATGTTATAACAAAATGACACTGAACAAAACATCGTTATTCAAGAACCTGCTGTACATCTCATGTTTGGCCCCATATATGTAACAGGTACCAGTATCTTTTTATACATGGTAACTCAAAATGTGAAATTCCCTATAGCATGAGATATGAAGCCACCCATGTTAGTACTGATATGGAGTACTAGAGTTCTGAAGTCTCTGCTTCAGCAAATCCTTTAGAAGAAATGCCCTCATTTCAGCCCAAACATGTTCCTCTTTTAACCTCTGTTCACTGGAAATCACTATATGTAGAAACTTGAAATCATGAGTCGCCTTTTACTCTTCTCTTACCCTATCTCCATATCTTATTACCAAGGCCTGTTAGTTCAGTTTCTGAAGCTAAGTCTCTTAATATAACCTTCTTTCCATTTCTACAGATATCTGATTACAGCCGAACCTGACCTTTGTGATTTTCTGCCTTCACTTTTGCAATAATCTCCTAATTCATCTCTGAGCTTCTAGTTCCTTTCTTTCATTTTGTTCTTCTTGTCACTCTCTAGATTTTCCACCAAAAACACAGATCTCATTATCTTTTCTCAACACATTAAAGTTATGCTATCTATGGAATAAGGTTCCACCCCCTTTAAATTGCACTTAAGAAACTTTATAACCAGGCCTAATTATACATTTCCAGATTCATTTCTCACCAAACAATTCCGACACCTTCAGGTTCCAGCCACACCAACCTATTCATTGTTCCTAGAATACACCTGGCATTTCAGGCTTCAGTTCGTGGCCACCGTCCACTTTCTACCCCCACGCTGCCCTGCTAATCCTCTGTCCCTCAAGGGCAAATTCACATGCAACTTCCTCTGTAAAGCCTTCCCCACTCTCCCCAGTTAGAATTAACTGTTCCTTCCAAGCACTTCCATGGCATTTATATCCTGCCTGTCTCTCCTTTCTCATAGGTCACAAATCTTGAGAACAGAAAATGAATCCTTATTCATCTCTGTAACTGACTATACAGCAGAGCTCTCTAGACAGTTCAGTTTCTTCATAAATGTTCATTCAATAACAGAAACTTCTGGGAAGAGGAGGCAGATTTAACCAGCATAACCAGGAGGGAAAGGACTATCCTGGAACTCTACAGGTAGCTGTCCTTTCCTATGTGTAGCATTTTGGAGGTATAATAAGCCTTCCTACATGTCAGAAACACTGAGCCCTTCCTTGCATTTGGACTTGCTATGAGACTATCCCAAAGGTTTGACAGAGAACATAAATTTCTGCATTAGTGAGAAATTTCTATTGCTTATAAAAATCAATCAATTTCAAAATACGATGAATTAAGGAATCTTATTAATCTTAAATTTTATAACTGGAGACATTAAGCTTTTAAGTATAGAATTCTGTAAGTTCAAAGAAACACAGAGTAAGAAATACTGCACAACAGCTACCATGGCTAAGAGGTGAGTGTGAGGCATGCACAGGAGGGGTTCCAAGAAGGAACAGATCCTAGCTGGGAGCGGGGGCTCATGCCTGTAATCCCAGCACTTTGGGAGGTCGAGGCGGGTGCATCACGAGGTCAGGAGTTCAAGACCAGCCTGGCCAAGATGTTGAAACTCTGTCTCTACTAAAAATACAAAAATTAGCTGGGTGCGGTAGCATGCGCCTGTAATTCCAGCTACGCAGGAGGCTGAGGCAAGAGAATTGCTTGAACCTGGGAGGTGGAGGTTGCAGTGAGCTGAGATCGCGCCGCTGCACTCTGGCCTGGGTGACAGAGTGAGACTCCGTCTCAAAAAAAAAAAAAAAAAAAAAAAGGAACAGATCCTAAACACCTGCAGGAATATGCTCCTTAAAAGCAGAGATTTAAAAAGTGCAAAATACCCTGAACACCACGTCTCACACCCCAAAGAGGCATTTTACTTTGTACCAGGCTTTTTTGTTTGTTTTAATCTTTTTTTTAAAGAAGCCCCTCTATTTATCAGCTACTTTCATCATCTTCAGAAACCTCACTACATTTCACTAGTCCAACACCAGACTCATAGTCTCTAAAGACAAGCTTGAGGGCTGGGCGCGATGGCTCACGCCTGTAATCCCAGCACTTTGGTAGGCCAAGGTGGGTGGATCACGAGGTCAGGAGCTCAAGACCAGCCTCGCCAAGATGGTGAAACCCCATCTCTACTAAAAATACAAAAAATTAGCCAGGCATGGTGGCATGGGCCTGTAATCCCAGCTACTCAGGAGGATGAGGCAGAGAATTGCTTTAACCCAGGAGGCAGAGGTTGCAATGAGCCAAGATCGCACCCTGTGCCACTGTACTCCAGCCTGGGTGACAGAGAGAGACTCCATCTCAAAAAAAAAAAAAAAAGAGAGACAAGCTTGATGTAAAAATGGTATCTTGAATTGATAACAAATGTAAGTTTTTTAAAACAATGCTTCATTAATCTATACAAGCACTTGAATTGTTCAAGGAAAATACACCTACCTAATGAAGAGAAAAGACCTAACATTTATTGAATATTTGCTATTGCATAGGTACTCTTCTAGACTCCTTTATGTTCACTATTTAATTCCCACAGCAACCCTGAAGAGCAAGCACTGACATTCTAAATAAGAAAACTAAAGCACGGAAAGTAATCTGCCCAAAGAAACATAGCTGAAAAGTAAAACGCTGGCATTTGAACCAGATTAGACTTGTTCCAAAGTCCATATTCCCAACTATCACAAATCAGACTGCCCCAACATGGTATCTCAGCAGAAGAAAGTGATAGACTGCTCCTGCATATTTTGTATCTTATTGTGCTGCTTTCCAACTTTTGACAATGTAAATTTACAAGGCCAATTACAAATAGAGAAACTTGTCCTATTTTTCAAAAGGTGGTCAAGAAAGTCAGATCTGGAAGGGAATAGTCTATAGAGTTAGCATTCTAAATCTAATGCAATTATTGTTTATTATCACAGATTTATTAAATACAAATGAAAACTTTTCTTGCTATACTATTCCCCTTTCTAGCATAAAAGTAACTTGCTGTCATAATTTTTTTTTTTTTTTTTTTGAGACAGGGTCTCACTCTGTCATCCAGGCTAAAGTGCAGTGATGCATTACAGCTCACTGTAGCCTCTACTTCCTGGGCTCAAGCAATCCTCTGCCTCTGTCACCCAAGTCTACTGTGGACTAACTACTTGAAGAAGTTATCTATTTAGTTCTTGAGAGCTCCAAAGACATGAAGTTTTACTAGAATTACATCAAACACTTAAGCAACCCTAAACTACCACATAAATCTTCCTTTCAAAGCTATAGGTTCCACAAAACTTCAATGACAGTGATTTTGTGCTAAAACATTAAAGATGATTAACTGTGGGAAAGAGATTAGTTATATTAATCTTTAATTATTAAACTTGCGGACTTAAAGAGTTTTATAAAGGCATGTTTCCAATGGCTGAAATAACTAATATAAAATGTTAAGATCAGTTAATTAAATTATACAACTATAATGCTATTTACGTGGACCTCGTGACAAGCCCATGATTGGTGCTGGTGGATTAGGATTTCCACTATGACTCAGCATACCTCTTCAATAAAACATAAGGCCAGGTGTGGTGGCTCACACCTGTAATCCCAGCACTTTAGGAGGCCAAGAGGGGCTGATCACGAGGGCTGGAGTGAATGGCCAATATGGTGAAATCCCATCTCCACTAAAAATACAAAAAAAATTAGCTGGGCGTGGTACACGGGCCGGTGGTCCCAGCTACTTGGGAGGCTCAGACAGAAGAATTGCTTGAACCTGGGAGACGGAGGTTGCAATGAGCTGAGATTGCGCCACTGCACTCCAGCCTCGGTGACAGAGCAAGACTCGGTCTCCAAAAAAAAAAACATCTAACTGGAAAAACAAATGGAAGGTCTGGCAACAAAGAGGGCCAGAAAGTACAGCAACATAAAAGTCACCCAACAGGTTCATGTAACTTGTGTATATCGCTAGATGTAATACTGAAGGATAGCTTTTACATGCCAACCAAATTGCAACTACCAAATTAAGTGGGAAAAGACTCCCCAGAAAACAGATACAACTTTTTTTGAGATGGAGTCTCGCTCTGTTGCCCAGGCTAGAGTGCAGTGGTGCGATCTTGGCTCACTGCAACCTCTGCCTCCTGGGTTCAAGTGATTCTCCTGCCTCAGCTTCCTAAGTAGCTGGGATTACAGGTGTCCACCACCACACCCAGTTAATTTTTGTATTTTTAGTAGAGACAGGGTTTCACCATATTGGCCAGGCTGGTGTTAAACTCCTGACCTCAGGTGACTCGACTGCCTTGGCCTCCCAAAGTGCTGGGATTGCCGGTGTGAGCTACTGCACCTGGCCAGATATAACTTCTTGAAACTATAAAAAATAAAAGCTTCCTAATACATCAGACTATAGTAAGCTATAAAAGCCTTATCAAATCATTTAATCACATATGACAAATAACCAGAAGAGACATTTTGCCTCAACTTTACCCAAGTGATCCAGAAATATAGTAAGAAATGTCTACTCTCTTAGGAAGACAATACTGAGCCACTGCTCCCACTCACTCTGTAGCCTGATCTAAGCTTAGTGAGTTTCTTCTAGTCACTGCTCCCACCTAGTCTGTGGCCTGACCTAAGCTGAAGAACTTTCCTTTCTAATTTTCCCTTCTTTGTGTGATCAGTGAGCAGATGCTTCCCAACCTGAAGAAATGCTCAGTAAATGAACGTGATGGGCAATCTATGATTCTTGACTGCCTATCATCGAGCTCTCTCCTCTTGGTACCATTATCCTGATTACCTTTCGGGGGGCTACCTCTCGCACATAGAAAATAGTCTTGTTGGCAATTAATCAGGTTTCACACCTACTCCTAAACAAAAGATGGGAACATGATCTACATTGGGCCTACTAGACATTCCTTCCCTGGACTATGAATTGTGAGCAGTGAACAAAAAAGGCTTGCAATGGTTTCAGTTCATTCATTCCACTGCCAGAGCTAGAAAGAAAATGGTTTCTACCTGTTCTAGGCCTTCCTTTCAAATCTGCAAGTCCAGACCTATGCAGCCTCCCAACCACTGCCTTTTTTTTTGGGGGGGGGGGGCAGTTTCGCTCTTGTTACCCAGGCTGGAGTGCAATGCCGTAATCTCGGCTCACCGCAACCTCCGCCTCCTGGGTTCAAGCAATTCTCCTGCCTCAGCCGCCTGAGTAGCTGGGATTACAGGCACGCGCCACCATGCCCAGCTAATTTTTTGTATTTTTAGTAGAGACGGGGTTTCACCATGTTGACCAGGATGGTCTCGATCTCTTGACCTCGTGGATCCACCCGCCTCGGCCTCCCAAAGTGCTGGGATTACAGGCTTGAGCCACCGCGCCCGGCCACCACTGCCTTTTTTAACTGAACACAGAGTGGTCTTCGTTATTCTCCAGTAACTGTCAAGGAAGCACCTCTGTACTTGTGCAACATAAACCTGGCTGTCAACTTCAACAGAGCAGCACACTCCCTCTTTCTTGATACTCTCTGCCAAGTTCTAAGACGTGACACTGCTGGTTTTCCTCCTCCTCCCTTCTCAAGCTCTCCTATCTGCTCCTCCAGCTGACAAACACTAAAGTGACTCAAGGCTGTTTCCGAGTAAACTTTCTTTCGATTTCTCTCTACAGACAGTCTTATCCCTGACTTGCAATTAATCATTTAAATGCCCATGACTTGAGTGTATTTCTTTGGCTCAGCCCTTCTCTGACCTCCAGAAAGATACCTCAAAGTGCTTACTTATCATTGTCACTTGACTGTTTCAGAGGAAACTCAAAGTCAACAGGTCCTAAACTGTGACCTCCATTGTGCCTACCACTGCTGCCTCACACAAAAAAGCTAGTCCTCCTTCAGCCATACCTATCTAGATGAATGCAGAAACCATCCACCTAGCCATGACAACACAAATTCAGGAGACTAGAATTCTTCTTCTAGCCTCCTGCTTTCTCACTTTATTATATCCAAACAACCACTAAGTTCTTCCAATTTTACCTTCTAATCATCTCTCAAAACTGTCCAGCTCTTTAACTGATCTCACTTTAGTCCAAGAAATGCTCTCCGAACTAGCCTCTCCTAAGCATCTCTGCACACCCCCCCTTCAATACCTCCTTCACATTAGAGACAAGAATAATTTTTTAAATGCAAATATATTATTCCTAAAATGACGTTGCCTTCCTCTTAGGACAATGATCAAAATCTTCCCCAGGGCCTCCACAGCTGCTGCCTGTCTCTCATCTCACGCGAGCCCAGGCCTGCCTCATCTGTCCTGCTGTGGTGTGGTGTACTGATATTCTTACAGAGTCTTACAGACACCATTCTCTCTCTGCCTTCAGCCCTTTGGATATGTCTTGCTCTATTTTTCCAAGTTATTACAGCTCAAAATAGTCAATGCCTCAACAAAGTCTTTCTGAATTTTCCAGCTTAAATTTGGAACCCCTCACCCATTATATACTGTCTACCGCTCCTTTAGTGTATATATCATAACTACAATGTACTATGCAATTAGGTGCTTAATTTTCAAACTCCCCTACAAGAACATAAACTCCATGAGAAATAATAGTCAATTGCCAGCATTTAGCAAAGTCTTTTAAAAAAATACTTAAGATTTTACCCAGTAGTATTCACTGTTGACTCCCACATTACTATCGCAGCCCTAACTTCTCCCTAGCTCCAGATTCATGTTTTTAATAATCTACTCAAATTCTTCACCTGAATATTTAATAAGCAGGTTAAATGTAATGTTTCCAAAACCTCTGGATCACCAACTACATCCCTAAACTCTCCCCTTCCCAACCTACTCAGGTCAATAAAGATCACTACCAGGCACCCTACTTCCTAGGTAAAAATGGTGACTGAGTTATCCTTGATTTCTCTCTTTCCTTCAAATCTCATAGCCAAAATAATCTATCAGTGGGTCCTACTGACTTTAACTTCAAATTACATATCCTCAGCCAGGTGTGGTGGCTCATGTCTATAATCCCATCACTTTGGGAGCCCGAGGCAGGTAGGTCACTTGAGGCCAGAAATTCAAGACCAGCCTGGCCAACATGGTAAAACTCTGTCTCTACTAAAAACACAAAAATAGCGGGTGTGGTGGTACATGCCTATAGTCTCAGCTACTCAGGAAGCTGAAACATGAGAATCGCTTGAACCTGGGAAGGAGAGGTTACAGTAAGCCAAGATCATGCCACTGAACTCCAGCCTGGGCAACAAAGTGAGACTCTACCTCAATAATAAGAATAATAAAATTAAATTTTAAAAACATTACATGTCCTAAATATGCTTCTCACCCCTTGTCACTACCACCCTCTTCCACACCTCCATCTTCTCATGCCTAGACCACATGGCAATCTCCTAACTTGGTCTCCCCACTTCCGCCTGCCCTCCCAACTCTATTCTTCATGTAGGGGTCCTCCTCCCACCCCACAACAGAGACTTTACACAGGCAGGGTCTCTGTTTGATCTCACAGGGCACATATACCCAATGACTAGCATCTTGCTGAGCAGGTGGTAGACAAAATAATTATTTACTGAATGACTAAGAATTCTGAACTGCAGATTTCTAGGCTTCATCCCTGGAAATTCTGATCCTGCATTTCCTTTTTTTTTTTTTTTTTTTTTGAGACGGAGGTTCGCTCTTGCTACCCAGGCTGGAGTGCAATGGCGCGATCTCGGCTCACCGCAACCTCCGCCTCCTGGGTTCAGGCAATTCTCCTGCCTCAGCCTCCTGAGTAGCTGGGATTACAGGCACACGCCACCATGCCCAGCTAATTTCTTGTATTTTTAGTAGAGACGGGGTTTCACCATGTTGACCAGGATGGTCTTGATCTCTTGACCTCGTGATCCACCCGCCTCGGCCTCCCAAAGTGCTGGGATTACAGGCGTGAGCCACCGCGCCCGGCCTGATCCTGCATTTCTTAATCATTCACAGGTAGCTGACAAACAGGGAGCCATGCCCCTCTCCTCAGAGAGGACTTCAAAGCTGTCCCTGCCTGCCGTTACTTGGGATCCCTTCCTCCTCAGTGCACAGAGGCCTCTGAAGTGACCCTGAGACTTGGAAGAAATGAGAAGTGAGCCTCCTCTGTAAACACTAGGGAAGCTAACTTGAGATGATTAATCTTTAGCGAAGACAATATCATGAGAAAACTGTCAGTTACCAGAATGACTGGACTATAACCAGAAGTATTCCATGCCTGAATTTGGTGAGAGTGGGTTAAGTTCACACAATGATTTTTCGTTTTTTCTTTGACATGGAGTCTCGCTCTGTTACCCAGGTTGGAGTGCAGTGACACAAACTCGGCTCACTGTAAACTCTGTCCCAGGTTCAAGCCAGTCTCCTACCTCAGCCTCCTGAGTAGCTGGTTTTACAGGCGTGTGCCACCACACCCAGCTAATTTATATAATTTTAGTAGAGAAGGGATTTCACCATGTTGGCCAGGCTGGTCTTGAACTCCTGACCTCAAGTGATCTGCCCGCCTTGGCGTCCCAAAGTGCTGGGATTATAGGCATGAGCCACTGCGCCTGGTCATAAGTACACACAATTTTTAATTTATTATGCTACCAGAAAATTAACTCCACAGACTGAAGAAATTAAAAAATTTAACTTCATCTAGGATTAAGTCTTCCAAAAGCTCATATGCAACAGCAGCACTGATTTGATGCACTCCTCCCCCTTCCTTTTGTGTTTAGGCTGGTGCAAGTCATTAGAACCAGGGAAATAACAATGGAAAAGGAATCCTCAGTCTCATAAGAGAGTTTAAATAGCATTTGCCCCAAGGATCTCACGCTTTTCTCCATGCAAACACTGTTCTGGAATGCTACATCAAATCAATTTAATTCAATACACTAAGCATTCAAGTTTCATAAAGTCTAGGATACAGCACCATATAAAATTGCCAAGAAAGTTTCTAACAACTTTTAATATTAGTTTTATATTACTGAGCAAGGAGGTGTTCGGATTATAAAATTCTTATAACTATGTTGTAACATGGCAAGAAACAATCTAATCTCTGACTCCCTACAAGTACTCTCATTCTTCCTTTATGTTTTGCTCTTCACACATTCTAAAACCTTTAATGCAGAAAAACCAACAGAAAATGTTCTAGTTTATTTCAATTGATTCCTGAGGACTGGTTCAGAGGCTCACATTTGTAATCTCAAAGCTTTGGGAGGCTGAGGTAGAAGGATCACTTGAGGCCAGGAGTTTGAGACCAGCCTAGGCAACATAGTGAGACCCCATCTCTACAAAAAATAAATAAAAAAAAAATAATAAGACAATGATTTGTGTTCCAACTTACCTTTATGACAATAGTTAAATATATCATCTGTCTCAGATAAATACAAAAGTAAATCAAATAATAAAGGTATTTTCCTTCAGTTATTCATGCCAGCATGAACTGAAGCGGGGCCTCTGCCATACCTTCATCATCATATTTAACTCCTTCTGAGTCAGACAAGGAAGTCAGACTTAAAAAGCAAGATTCTTCAAAAGTAAGAAGGAGTCAAGTGATTCAAGAAGCACAATAATTAGTCATTACTAAACAATTCTGTATCATGGTTTTGGGAGATTTCTAAAAACTACATGCCCCATCATCCTGGATATATAAAAAAATATGCAATCCTCTCTAACTTCCTCTTTGGTTGGCTTCCCAAGAACCCCGCCCTACCTGACCGGCTTGTTCTCTGGGCCCACATCTGTAAAGCCCATTTCCTCCAGTTTGCAGCGCCTGTAAAGCTCATAGTGCCTGGTATGGGTCTGCTCTCGCAGGTCCTCCATGTTTGTACAAATGAGCATTTCCCGCAGCTTTACAAAGTCACAGTGGTTTTCATTTTCCACTAGCCAGAAAAAATAAGAAAAGAGCAACACTGGATTTTAATTCCTGGCACACAATTAAGTGTTTGGTGAATGATCAAATAAATAAAAACGTGAAATAACAAATAGCAGAATGATCAGTTTGATTAATAGCTATGATTATTTCATACAAGTAAGCAAAGAAGAAACTCTTGCAGTATACACACTGTATTATAGGCAATGTGAATTAACAGACCAGGAGATTTGCTTTAAATTTAGTAGCCAGTGGATCACCAGGAAATAGCAAAAAGACACAATTTATTGTCAACCAGGTGTTCCAGTTATTTCACACTAATATTTTGTTAGTTTACAAACTATCCTGAAAACATTTCACCTAGCATTTAAAAAGAGTATATAGTATTAGTTCACTAAAACTTCAAAGTAGTAAATTTTGCAAACTCAAGAATACCATCTGTTCATGCTATAATTATCAAATTCTTTTATACAACACATTTATGATCCTGTATTAGACACTATTCAAAATTAGTGAACACACTTACATGATCCTTCTTCTATGTTTTTGGTGACCAGAGGACTACAAATAAATATATTTTATTGTGACCAATACTCTTTAGTATAATTATTACTTTTATATTTTTTATAAAATTAAAAATGCTACATTTTCTCAATATTTTTCATTAATTACAACAGTTATCAATTAAGAAAAAAATCAGCATTTGGAATTCTATACTAGTAAGGGTAATCTATTCCCCATTAATTAGTGCCATAAGTAAATGAACCATACAGTACTAATTACTTACTCATTATAATGTCAGACAAATAATCTAAATGTCAAGTGGATTTAACTTTTTAAGTTGGTTGACTGGTTTATTCTGGAAATGGCTAGCAATCCTATGATCAGTAAAAATATATAAATTTATAAGATGGCTGACTGTCCTTATAGTTAAGTGGTAATTTGTCATGTTTTATGGTCTAAATACTACTTTCTACATTCACATTTTGGTCAAAGTGGCCCATTGGTGCTTCCCACCTACTGACAGTCAGGGTACCTTGGGGAGGTAATGTGTGTGTGGCATAATGAGAAGGGGGAGGCTCTACATGGTGTCTAGACTTTGGCTAAAATAGTACACAGGCAACTCCTCTGACAACCAATCTCATCCAAATTGAGCATCACCTCAATAATCCACAAAAGACAGCTTTGAGATTACTAGACACATTATTTCTAGTCATCCTTTATCTCATTTACCTTGTACAACACCCCAAGGGTACTGGCGAGCTTTGACCATCTTATTTCCAACTTTTACCTCATCCATACTTCCCACAACAGCAAACGGCAACTGTCCCTGAAAAAGAATCATATCAAGCACACCTTCTCATACCAGTGTGATAACTGACAAGATAAAATAAATTTTATGTAATTGAGAAGAGAATAATTTATTAAATAACAAATCTATTAAAATCACGTGGTCAGCTATGCCTCAGATTTTAAAACCTGCCAGTGAATACGTACTAACTGTTCTACAAGAGTCAATTTTGGGCCCCATAAAGAAAATTATTACATGTAAGGCATTATGCTATTGGAAATACACACAAACAAAAAAATTATTTTTGTTTATTTTTATTTTTTTGAGATGGAGTCTCACTCTGTCACCCAGGCTGAAGTGCAGTGAGTGGCGCGATCTGAGCTCACTGTAGCCTCCACCTATGATAGTTCCAGCAATTCTCCTGTCTCAGCCTTCCAATTAGCTGGGATTACAGGTGCCCACCACAACACCCAGCTAATTTTCGTATTTTTAGTAAAGACAGGGTTTCACCATGTTGGCCAGGCTGGTCTAAACTCCTGACCTTAGGTGATCCACCTATCTTGGGCTCCCAAAGTACTGGGATTACAGGTGTGAGCCACTGCACCTGGCCAAAGAAAAAAGAATTTTAGTATAGGTATCATTTCCCTCAATATTATCTTTCCCCAAAAAGACAATGTTGAGGAAATTACACACACACACACACGCACACACACACACTATACATAATGTATATGTAACTATACAACATAGTGTATATCTATTGTGTGTGTGTGTGTATATAGATGTGGTACTAATACAAAGTAGTATATAAAATCCTAAATTAATGTCAATATGGCAAATGTCCTAGAAATTGAGAGGAATGAGAAATCACTGGGAGCAGGAAGATAAAAGCTAAGCCAGATCAAGAAGAACAAGATTTAGATAGATAAGCAAAGTGGGAAGAAATGGCTTAAAAAAGGAAAAGATTCTGAACAAAATGCAACAGCTAGGTTCAGGTGCAGGGAGTAGACTGGTCTGTCTGAAGTTGAGGATTAATACCAGGGAAAAGTCTAACGTAAAAACTATTAAGTACTATGTTTAATATTTAAAAACTGACATTATCTTTAGTTAATGGTGGCTTTTTGAATATTCTAGGTGAGCACAAGAAATAAAATTAGATGTAATGACAATGTAACACATAGAAATTAAGACTGCTTCATTTATATGTCAGTTTTTTATAGATTTTATGTATCTTAATACAAAAGGGCTATGAAAAATCAGAAAAGGAAAATAGAAGAAATAGAATGAACAGTTATTGAAAGTCACCGTTAGGCACTTAACAAAGGTGACATCATTTATCCCTCACAAGAACCCTTAAGATGGGCAGTATTAACCTAACTTTGTAGATATGTTAAGTCTCAGGGAGGTTAGTAACTCCAATGAACATATGGCCAAGTCTGTCGGATTTCAAAACACACAATCCCACAAAACATAACCAGGTGTTTTAAAAATGTGGCTGTATTAAGCTAAAAGTTACATGAATGTTTAGTATGTATATATGACACTCTAAGAGAAACAGGGCATAAAAACTAGATTTAAGAGACCTTCTTAAAGATTTCAAAATTTTTTTTTTTTTTTGTGATGGAGTCTCGCTCTGTCACCAGGCTGGAGTGCAGTGGCACGATCTCGGCTCACTGCAACCACTGCCTCCCAGGTTCAAGCGATTCTTCTGCCTCAGCCTCCAGAGTATGAACCATGCCCGGCTAATTTTTTATTTTTAGTAGAGTTAGGGTTTCACCATATTGGCCAGGCTGGTCTCGAACTACTGACCTCGTGACCTGCCCACCTTGGCCACCCAAAGTGCTGGGAACACAGGTGTGAGCCACCGTGCCTGGCCCAGATTTTAAGATTCTAAAGCATGCCAAGGGAGGCTATAAAGTCTTCTCATGTTTATAAAGACAGGATAGGAAGGTGTCATCTTTCTAAGGGAATTAAATGTGGTCCCACAAAAGGTATATCCCAGTCTCATAAATGTATCACTTTATTTTGGTGAAAGCAGGGTGAAAGAAAAATATGCTTAAAAATAAATTCTCCTTACACTTTTTCCAACGTAAAAAATAAAACATTTTCTCGGCTGGGCGCAGTGGCTCAAGCCTGTAATCCCAGCACTTTGGGAGGCCGAGGCAGGTGGATCACGAGGTCAAGAGATCAAGACCATCCTGGTCAACATGGTGAAACCCCGTCTCTACTAAAAATACAAAAAAATTAGCTGGGCATGGTAGTGCGTGCCTGTAATCCCAGCTACTCAGGAGGCTGAGGCAGGAGAATTGCCTGAACCCAGGAGGCGGAGGTTGCGGTGAGCCGAGATCGCGCCATTGCACTCCAGCCTGGGTAACATGAGTGAAACTCCGTCTTAAAAAAAAAAAAAAAAATTTTCTCATACTGGGCTTTTTGAAAATTCACTTTGTTTGAAGTCTTTTTGGAAGACACAAGTGAAAGCATATTAGCAGCAATATTACTCGCAAATTACAGTTTTATTTTCACATGGAAAACAATTAGCATTCAATCAGGAGCTCACGTTCATCGCAGCATTGATCTTAGCAATAGTGTCATCATCTGTTGGGAACTGGTATATCTGGACGCCATTGCTGACCAATTCACTCATGAGCTTGATCTTGAACTTCTGTAATTCAGTTTTAGAAACCGTATCTGCTTTGGCAATCACTGGTATAATGTTTACCTATTAAGAATAAAGAAAAACAAAATCTCATCAGGGATTCGTTTTTTTAATCCTGCAGCTGTTTTTTCACTCAAAACCATTCATTCTGACAATTAATTTCCCTAACCTAGATCGGGGGCTGGCAAATTACGGTCCATCTTGCTGTTGATTTTTATATATAAGATTTACAATACCACCAATGCCCATTTGCTTGTGTACTGTCTACAGTTCTGTTCACACTACAACAGCAGAGATGAGTCCCTGCTGCCAGAAACCACAGCACTTGTAAAGTCCGGTAAATTCACTACCTGGCCCTCTGCAGAAAAGGCATGCCAACCCCAACCTACACAGGCCCTGACTGACACTCTCCTATATACACACTCATTCATACTCATTGCTTTTCTTTTCTTTTCTTTCTTTTTTTTTTTTTTTTTTTTTGAGATGGAGTCTCCCTCTAACCCAGGCTGGAGTGCAGTGGCATGATCTCAGCTCACTGCAACCACTGCCTGCTGGGCTGAAGCGATTCTCTTCCCTCAGCCTCCCAAGTAGCTGGGATTATAAAGGCACCTTGATCAATGCTTTTAGAAAGCAGAACTCTTGTAAGAGTAACCTTTCATTTGAATTTAGGTTTAGAAAGCTCACATTTTCTTTTCTGTATCTCAAAATCTTATAATTTCATCATACACTTAAAAAGTAAAATGTGATAAAAGGTAAACTGAACTGAAGTTGCCTCCTTAATTCACTAAGAATTTTTATTTTTTAATAAGCTAAGCACTATGGTGATTGATCCCTCAGCAAAACCAAAAGACAGGTGAAGCTTCTCTTTCTGCCTCTTGTTTCAGGACTGACTCCATGCCTACCTATACCCCATTGTCACAGACTGACCTAGACAGCAGAGGAAGGAAGGAAACCGCACCAATACCAATTAAAAGTGTTCATGATGCAAAGGAATAACTTTCTCTGTATTACTTAAAGTCCCATCAATGACAGAGAGGAAGAGATTTGGGGTTGTGAAGACCAAATAACCTGTAAATCTAGTCCTATAAGATTAATATTCCCACAAAAGACTGATAGCTCCACAAATCTGTGACTGGTAGTTGTTTTTTTAGTTTGTTTTTAATCAAAAACCACATGCTAATCAGTCATATGTATCAAGAGTAAAACTGCAATGTAATTTTCAGATTAAAAGTAAAAAATCATAACTCCTATTCTTTTTTCTCTTCTCCAATTTCACATTGATAAAAAGTATATATGTGAATTTATAAGTCTTCCATATGCTCCAAAGGAGATAAATTTTTTCTATCCATCTACGAAATTAATGGCAGAAAACCTTCCAGCAATCCTGAGTAATCAACTTTCCTGTTAAATTAGTCAAAGTATATAAACTTTGGTGTCAAGTTCTTAGTTTCAATATAGTATAGTTAGGTATTCAACAAATTATGCCAAGTTAATAACTTATAATTACTTGCACAATAAACTGCTGTAGAATGAACACTAAACATCAATGTTTACATGACTATTAGAGGGAGGGAAAGTAACAGATATTGCTCAAAGAGGGTCACTTGTCACCACTGGTATAAGAAAAGGTAACTTTCCACGTCAAGCAGTTGAATGTTCTGCTTTTTAGAAACAGAAGACAATTATCTGGAGGTGGCCTGAGGAGTAGGGAGAAGAGGCCAGCAAGGACCCCACTCATCTTTATGTAGTGCCCTTGTGTAAGTTAGAATTTCCCTACACCTGCCAGCTGCCCCTATAAAAAAACCTGCATATGACTATATAAAATGGGCCAAATCAAGTAACTGAAGCATATCCTAGTTCTTCTTTCAAACTTATAACAAAGCTTTGGTGTTAACGTTCCTGTCTGATTTGTACAACAGAAAGCTAAAGGCAGGATTTTAATAAGTGAGTCTCAATTTCAGAATTCGTCTCTCATCAACTGAATAAGGCAGAAGTGAGTAGTGACAATCTTTAAACGAGTACATGATACCCATGATCTTTACTGTTACCATAAAATATTTCATTTTGGTTTGAATAAAATAAGGTATTGGTTAAAAAGTAATATTGTAATGCTCTTCAATGTCTTTACAGCTGGCCCCCTCATCATCTGTGGGTTCTGCATTGACAGATTCAACCAACTGAGGATCAAAAATATTAGGGGAAAAAAAATTTTAATGACAATACAACAATAAAAATAATACAAATTTTAAAATACAGTATAACAACTATTGACATAGCATTTATACTGTATTAGGTATTTAATGAGTAATCTAGAGATTCAAGCATATGCAAGGATACAAGTAGGTTACAGAGTCATGTGCTGCTTAACCATGGTGACATGGTTTTGTGTCTTCGCCTAAATCTCATGTCAAATTGGTTTCCCAGTGTTGGAGGGGTCTGGTAAGAGTTAACTGGATCATGGGGACAGAGTCGCCCCTTGCTGTTCTTGTGATAGTGAGTTCGTTCTCACAAGATCTGGTTGTTTAAAAGTGTGTAGCTCCTCCCCCTGCTCTCTCTTCCTCCTTCTCTGGCTATGGAAGACATGCCTGCTTCCCCTTCGCCTTCCACCATGGTTACGAGTTTCCTGAGGCCTCCCAGCCAGGCTTCCTGTTCAGTGTAAGGAACTGTAAGTCAATTAAACCTCTTTTCTTCATAAATTACCCAGTCTCAGGTAGTTCTTTATAGCAATGTGAAAACAGACTAATACACGTGGTGATAGAAATGCAACGGAAATATTACCTTAGGTGATTTTAATGTGATGTGAACATCATAGAGTGTACTCACACAAACCTGGATGTTATAGTCTATGACACACCTAGGCTGTATGGTATGGCTCATTGTTCCTAGGCTACAAGCCTGTACAGCATGTAACTATACTGGATACTGTAGGCAACTATAATACAATGGTAAGTATGTGTGTATCTAAACACATCTAAACACAGAAACATATAATACAGTACAGTAAAAATAAGGTATAATCTTATGGGACCGCCATTCTATATTTGGTCCCATTCTGTATTTGCTGACTGAAATGTAGTTATACACTGCATGACTATCCTATACCATTTTATATAAGGAATTTCAGCATCTGCAGGGTACTGAAACCAATCCCCCTTGGATACTGAGGAATGACTAGGAAGCATCTAGAACTAGTTGTTCTAAGAGTTAGCAGGTGAACTGCTGGTTCAAGATATATTGCCTCTGAACAAGTGTTCATTAGCCCTTTCATTTACTACTGAAAATCCACTAAGGGAATATATCAATATAAATTGCTCCTGACACTTCCGAAAAACTTTTGATGACTCAAAGGTGGTTGGGTTGGACAATACCTCCAATACCAACATATAAATATCCTCGACAAACTGTGCCTGTTAATTTTTAAGTAAGTTTTAAATAACAAAACAATAAATAACAGAGATGCTTCATATAGGCCAGGCATTGTGATAAATGCTTTATAATAGTCATCTCAGCTAATCTTCCCAAAAGTCTTAAGAGTAAGCTCTCTAGCCCTATTTTATACATGAGAAATTGAATCTGAGTTTATCCAGGGCCACACAGCTGATAAGTGGTGGGACTGAAGCAGAATCCAGGCAGTTCAGCATGATGGCCAGGTACTAACCCCTCTTGACTGCCTGTTTTATACCAGGACAGTGTACTGAACCGGGTAGGCCTCAGCTAACTTTTAAGACAACCTTTTCATGTAAAATAAGAGGCAGGTATTTTTACGTGGTAGTTTACACTTTATCATGAAAAATAAAGAATATATTTAAATCACCAAAGTTGGAGAAGATTAGATAATATATACTCACACAGTATGCTAAAGCAAACTTCTATGGCAGATAGGCTCTTACTGGGCATGCCTATTTGTTAAACCCTCTATTTACGTGGATCAATTTAATTGATTTTCATATCTGCCTCTTGAGGTAGTTCTTCTCCCTAGTTTTTATTAGGGGAGGAAACTGAGACTCAGGGCTAAAGAAACTTGCCAAGATTAGACAGCTATTAAATGACAGAGCCAATATTTAGAGCCAGCCCTCACTGACATCAACTTCTACAATCTTTATACAAACTACCTCATGTTGTTCCACTCTAGCTAAGACAAAACTGCACACTCTTGTTTTTCTGTTCCTTTAACAAATATGAATTTCCATGTAATCAGACTCAACTATGAAAACAACTGGCTAAATGGTTAGAACATCTCATCACACGTGATCAGGTGAACAGACTGTCATATAAGCTACATCAATTTCTGCTAAAGCCAGGGGACCAAGCAACTAGTCACAAATAAATAGACCTATGTGCCAAAGCTTCACTTGACAGGCCTTCATGGTTTCCACACAGGTTTCTGCAGAGAAAGCAGCAGCATCCAGAACAACCTAGAATTTGGAATTCAGATGATGAAAGCTTCATTTCTCATACCATTCGAGATTACCGGAAAATTCTAGTTTCTTTAGTGTAAGATTACTGTCTTTAGCTCTCTTTTAAACAAATACAAGTATCTGAAGTGAGTTAATTTATGAATTTTTCTATAGCTCCATAAATTTTTTTTTTTTGAGATGGAGTCTCCCCCTGTCACCCAGGCTAGAGTGCAGTGGTGCGATCTCAGCTCACTGCAACCTCCGCCTTCTGGGTTCAAGCGATTCTCCTGCCTCAGCCTACTGAGTAGCTGGGACTACAGATACCTGCCACCATCCCCAGCTAATTTTTGTATTTTCAGTAGAGACGGGGTTTCACCATATTGGCCAGGCTGGTCTTGAACTCCTAAACTTGTTATCTGCCCACCCTAGCCTCCCAAAGTGCTGGGATTACAGGCATTAACCACTGTGCCCAGCTGCTCCCTAAATTTATATGTAACTCCTTGGCTCAGAAATTTGAAAATAGGTTTTCTCAGTATAGTCCAAATTAAAATGTATTTTACAATAATATCTAATGAAACATTAGACCTTAATCCTTATTACAAAGTTCTTCTCACTTAATAGTGTCATAAAGTAAAATTAGTATCAACTAAATTCTGCACTAAAAATGTAGAGAATACCCATGTTGTGCATCCAATTTAATCACTAAAAAAGGAAGTAAAATTTTATTGTGATATTCCTTCTTTACATCTCATCTTCCAAACTGAATTTCTCTGAAAAAAAAAATAAGCTAGATGGAAATATAAAATGTTTTAAAGATTTCCAGGTGTTGGGCATGGTGGCTCATGCCTGTAGTTCTAGCACTTGAGGAGACCAAGGCATGAAAAATCACTTAAGTCCAGGGGTTTGAGACCAGCTGGGCAACATAACAAGACCCCCAACTCTACAAAAAAATTTAAAATTTAGCTGGGCATGGAAGTAGTACATGCCTATAGTCCCAGCTACCTAGGAGGCTGAGGCAGGAGGATCGTTTGAGCCCAGGAGTTCAAGGCTACATGAACCACAATCTCACAACTACCTCCAGCCTGGGTGACAGAGTGAGACCCTATCTCTAAAATAATAATAATAATAATATAATAATAAGAAGCAGCACAGGATAAAAGTCACAATACATACCCATATTGTAAAAAACATTTTAATAGTTCAAAATAAATATTAAAGTATGGTAAGCTGATTCCTTTCCTCAACCCACCTTGCTGTCAAGGTTCTTCATGGTTAAGAGATCAAGTGTCTTCAGAGAGTGGCCTGTCGGTGAAATGAAGTAGAGGCAAACATGGATGCGAGAATCATGGTAGGTAAAGAGAGAACGCTTAATCTTCAGTTCTTCTTGGAGATAGGCCTCAAACTGAGCATCTATGTAGTCAACTATTGGTTGGTAGCTGAAAAATTATTAAAATGTTTAACACATTATTTGTATTACCTTAAGATATTTGTGCAATTCAGAAGTCTGAGGTCTGTATTTTCACTAGTTCATAAACAGTATCTATAAACAGGTAACTTTAGTGAAAAAAATGTACAGAACATGCACAAAAGCTATACAAACGCTTTTCAACTTACAATGGGGCTATATCCTGATAAATCCATCACACAAGTTGAAAATATTAGCTGAAACGCATTTAATACCCCTAATAAACCTATCAAAAAGTTGAAAAATCATAGGTCAAACTATCCTAAATTCAGTATCATTTGTACTTCCGAAACCATCAGGGTAATCTGTGCTTGAAATGGTATTGGATTTACACTGTTTCATTCTTATAGTCATTCACATGCTAGGTCATTTTCTGACAAAGCTTCTCACACTTGCCAGACTGTTCAAAGAGACTAGCAACAGTCTAATTTGTAATCAAACTGTTACTTGACTTATTATTTAACTAATTGAGAAAAGGCATAGGTATCAATAACTCAAAAGATATTTAAGTCAAAGTCCATGATTCCTTGCCTCTTAGATTTGTAAGGCACAAAAAGCGTTAAGTAAAGAAGAAAGGCATTCATCAGCTGAAAGTAGCTAACTAGCAATGCTGGCATAGTTTTACTTTCATTCAATTATAAACAAAGGAAAAGCCAATTACATCCTCTGCTCAGATAACTCCTCTCTGGAATGCAGTCTTCCTTCTGACTGTCTCAGATTGTTCAGCCTTCAAAGACGCAAATCAAATCATGGTGCATGTGCCAAGCAGTGTGCTAATGCTGTTCTAAGAATAGTCTGTGAGCATTCCACTCAGTTCTGATATGCCAAACCACTGACTTTGCAACTTATTTTTCTACTCTTAACTATTCTCATTAAACAAATCTAGGTTTCTAAGTGAAAATAACAGTAAACAGTTCCCATGTCAAATTCCCTGGAAACCTTTGTAGCTCTATAATGAACCAGTACTGTGAGCAGCTGAGGTACTTAATAAATGTGTATAGAATTCTTCTATAAAGTTGCCTGACCTTCTAGTCCTTTAGGATCATCACTTCTTTTAAAATTATAGAATACACTTGTTCTCCCTATGCAAATGGTAAGCAATGTGAGAATCAAGACAGGATCTTATACATCTGTGTTTTTCACGAGAACTAACACAGGCCAGGCTCAGTGGCTCACAACTATAATCCCAGTGCTTTGGGAGACCAAGGCAGGAGGATCACTTGAGACCAGGAGTTCGAGAACAGCCTGGGCAACAACAAAGTGAGACCCCCATCTCTACAAAAAAATTTTTAAAAATCAGCCAGACATAGTAAGTGCCTATAGTCTTATCTACTTGGGAGGCTGAGGAAGGAAGATCCCCTAA